ATAATTATATTTATGTCTTAATTTAATTTTTATAAAATATCTTCCCCTCATAATATTTTTTGTTACAAGTCATTTAGAATGAGAAAATATTGATAATTTCTCACTCATAGGCATTTCTCACCGTTACCATACCTTGGAATGCTATTTATTCTTGTTCTCAAGTGAGACTTGAAATAATACGAGATAAATATTGAGTTAATAAAATAGAAGCATCACGTATCGAAGCCTTAATATGCACCTTGTTTTTTCATTTTTCTCTTAAGGTTGAACAAGTATCTGCATAAAATTAAATAAATATTTTAATTTTTTTTAAAAGAAGAAGACATAGAAATTTAATTACGATACATGTGTAATCATTAACCTCTTGAATTGATACATCCATCTATACTAGAAGGGGCCTCCGGCTTTTACCTTAAACGGTAAATGTATGAGTAAATGCTTTAGTAAGTCGAAAAATAAAAGAAATATCATCTCAAGTTTGTAGAATGTTTGGACAATATTCATTTTAAGCCTTTTTATGTATTATGTATGCAACTTATTAGAGCATATATCTCTAAAAAAATGATTGATTTTATGAATGCATCTCATATCTCTTTTGAAAATAAATCCTAAGAAGCAAGTTGAATGAGTGTTTGTATAAATATGTGACACTTATAACTATTCATTTCATATAATCTGCAATTCTTCAAATTCATCAATTTAGATATGTTTGAAACATGTCTATCAAGAAAATATAGACTTTAAACCATTAGTAGACAAGTGATTATGCATTATTGTCTAAAGAGAAGATGACTTTAGGCTTTATGACTAATGACTCATCATAAACCAATTTTATATTTTTATTATAACAAAACAAAGGTATATCCATTATATTCTCCATGTTGTTCTTTGTCTTTCTTTTCACGTTCATAATCATGTTAAAAATGTTTTTAAACATATTCCTTTTAATATGCATGTCATCAATGTTATGACAAAAGATTTGATCTTTCAATAAGAAAACTCTCATAAAATACTTTACTTTATCCAATTATGGGTCATACCAAAACTAAAAAACTTCTATTTACTAGATTAAAAACTAAAAACAATATCATCATGTTGCAACACCACGCTATACAATTCTTCATTCAATAGTAACTTTACCAATAAATAAGTCATTTTTTTTCCTTTTATATTTATAATTTGTTGACATGAACCGACGGTGGCAATTAAAAATATGATTTAGCACTATTTGTTAATGTAAATGCCTTATTATTTTTTATACAGCATGAACATGCTAATCTTCTAACCAGAAACTATTTGAAACACATGAAAATCATTAATAATCTACATCCAAGTTGTCTTCATTTGAAAATTTTATTTTCTTAAGACATCATAAGTCAAAGTTCTAGATGACCACAACTGCTTTAACTCATCAATTAATAGTCGAAAATAAACATCTATATTCTGATTTTGACTATTAGGATGAGGTATGGTCATAGATAAAAACATAAACTCTAGCCTTACACATATCCTCAATGGCAAGTTATAAACCATGATTATCATTGGCCAACAAGAATAAAGAACAATAAATGACACAAATTGATTGAATTCATCAATACATAACCCAAGATATACATTCCTTTATTCTATTGAAAACTGAGGATATATCATATTAAAATATTTTCAGGCTTCACGATCGGATGGGTACACCATAACTACATCCATCGCATCATGTCACATGCTCAACAGATTTTGGAGACACGAATAACTTTTGCAGTCTGAAAATGATTGAGAAATATCTAAGTTTTCTATGCGTAACAAGAGTTATTCCCCTGACAATTCTGAGTTTATAATAAGCATTCTATGTTCTACACTTTTTTAACTCTTTATTTTTAAGGTAATACAACATGTATAAATTTGGACACTTGTTAATTTTATGATACCCTAGGCCGATGAGTGTCATCATAAATTTAACGACATAAAATTTTTCTTCTGGCCTATTTATTTGAGGTAAAATTCTTCTCATTCTATTTGAAAATTTTATTGTAATTGGCCTAATTTGCCTATTATTTGTCTTAATGGTAAATATTTGGGCAACGATCGATAATTTACTGTGATTTGTGCACACATTTCATATTCATCGGATTATTTCAAAAGACAAAAAACATGATTGTTTTTGTATTTGGTTTTTCATCTATGATTTAAGATTCATATACATAACCCTGATTTATTTTCATTGCATCTATAATCATATTTTTATAAAGAATTACTATTGTTATCTATAACTCTATGTATGTTGCTAGAACTATAAGTTGATCTAACTATCCTTTCTATTATGATCTTGTAAGAAACATATGATTCTACATGTGTAAAAGAACATAAGTTTTCTTCATAAACACTTTTTTATAAAAGATATCTTATGATAACATCTTGACTGAGAAACTTTTTTATTTTTACACTTCTTACATAAACATCTAATATTTCCTCCACTAATATTTCTCGGATTAAATATTGTGTAATTAATAAAATCCTCAATCCTATTACAATAATCCATCTAACGCAACATTTCGGGTGAATCTCAATATACCTATGAATGATTATCCATCACTTATATCAAACCTATATAGAATATTGATGACAACCTGTATTAATTAATTATTTAAACTAAATAAATTAACATTTGTTTAACTTAAACTTACTTAATATATTTTAATACTACTATTAAATCATTATCATTATTTATATAAATTTAAATTCCTACACATTTACTAAAATTTTCAATTCAACAATAAAATTAACAAGATATAAAACGTAACCATTAAATAAACCATTATTTATTTCATTACAAAACACCTAATTTACAAATTCAAAATAAATTTCATCAAATTACAAAAAAATATAATTTTTTAAAATCTCAAATAACCCTAAAATGTACAAATTATACATTCACATGATAAATTTCTAAGGGAAAAAGTTATAAAATAAGTAAATATACAAACAAACAATATATACTATGAGAATATATAAAAAAACTAATATTTTAAAATTGAGTTAAAATAAAAAAAATGAATATCTTTTTATTTAATATGATAAATTCTAAAATAAATGAATCAGAATAAAGATTTTGATAGACTGAATGTTAGGTGATTGAAGTTATAAAGGTTCTATTATTTTTTGCAAAGAGCTTAGAGAGAGAAGGGAAAAAAAAGGAAGAAAGGAGAAGAAACTATAACTTATACATTATTAATAAATTTACAACAAATTTTACCCACAACTCTTCCTTTGTGTTTTTTTAATTATTAAGCTCATTATTCCCTCTTTCTAGAAACAAAATTATCTTACCCTAATCTGTGAGAGAAATTTGAAGGTAGAGGCTGCTTGCTTATGTCGGGTATAGCAAGAAAGAGACGGACACCATTAGAGACAAAACAAAGTGTTAAATGAAACTTTAAATCAAGAAAATTAATTTTGAAGAAAATTTGTCCTTTGAACGTTAGCTTGTCTGCCATTTGCACAATTCAACTGCCACTAGTTGTCTAAATTAAATTATTGTTTAGTGCAGCAAGAGGCTGGTCAAAAATCACAAGAAGACATAAAATTTGGATTAAAAACAATCAGAATTTTTAAACCCCATTTAGATTCTAAATCTAGATTATAAATTTTGAACAGGTAAATAACCCCTATATAGAATAAAAATGATATAAATTTTAATATAAAAAATAATTATTGAATTGTAAGTGAGTTTTTAATATCATTAACCCGGATTTTTTATTAATCATATAAATTTTTCTTTTTTTTTTTATTTATAATAAACTTAATTTGATTCAGGTCTCACGTTTAGATAAGTTTTGAATTGACCTACTAGTCTATTATAAATTTTAAAATTATAGTGGGAATCATAACTTCTTTGCTAGAAAAATAAAATACTTATCAATTGTATTTTTAATATACAACATTAATTAAATTCACTTATATAAACTTGAAAAGATCTACAATTATATATAGTTTTCTTAAAAATAAATTAAGCACGTATATAAAATTTTTCAAAGATATTTTTTCTTATAAAGCAAGGTTAAAAAAATAAACTTGAAGCACTGTATCAACATTAAAGTTTAGTATATTGGTTAAGATAGTAGAAATAGTTTTATGTATGTTATAGCATTTTCATCTATATATTTTACAAATTAACATGTCACACCCCACGAAGAACCCAAGTTGTCAAATGGGTGACCTAATCTTCTTGTGCTTAGAATCAATTTTGAATTGAAAAAGAAAACAATCATGGACAGTAATATCAATCATGATAGTAATTACTTATGCCACTACATGAGAAAGTGCTTGTTAAGAGAATTAATTATTCATTTCATTAAATTACTTAATAATAAATTATTGTTCATACATAAATTGATATTAAATTAATAATAAATTAATGTTCAAACATAAATTTACATTTCATTAATCTTCTTCTAGGATAAAAGTAATAGAACGAGATTAATTGAAAAAAAATTTGTTATGAATATGTTTTTAAAATAATTTTAGAATAAATTTTAGACATGCATTATTATCTTAGTTTTATTTATTTATTTATTTTAAAATAATAGCCAAACATGAACACCAATACAATATAAAATCACATGAAAACATAAATATTAACTCATTAAATTATATTTGAAAAAAAAAACAGTTTCTTGGTTCTTATTCATGAGTGTGTGTCTATATATATACATACACGCCTTAACCACATTTAAAACTTGGTTATTTTTTTTTGTATTTTTTAATTATATTAATTTATTAATATTAAAAATAAATTTTAAAAATAAAAAATTATTTTAACATATTTTTAAATTAAAAATATTATAAAAACAACATTTATCACATTTTAAAACAGTATTTATCCATTAATTCTTTCTAGTAAAAACTTGGTTTTCTCAAAAAAGGGTTCAAGCCCAGTAAATACAGCCCATAAGAAGCCTATATCTTTCCAGTCTCCTACAGAAAGACCTATTTCTTTATTCTCATATGGGCCGCTAAAGTACTAATTTAAACCTCGTTAGGTAATTCCCGGGTTATTAACATTGTAGGTAACATGTTTGATAAAATGTTTCTATAAGAAATTGACACTTGCTGCTCATCAGTTCATATTTTTGTATGCTTTTATAGTTGGTTTGAACTAGCAATTCTTATATTTTCACTTGAATGTTGAAATTTATTGTTGCAGCACATGAGGAGTTGATAAGTTTTTGTGATTGTGAGTGATAGTTACAAAAATGTGGCTTGTTGGGTTGCCAAGAATTTGCAAAGGAAACTTGCCCAGAAGCAGAATATTGCAAAACATGAATCTTGTTAGTGTCAAGTTATTTGGCTTTTCTTATACGGGTAAGCTCTTAAAGTCTACTCTTTTAATTGATGTGCAAGGCTATTGTTTGTTGAATGATTTGTAATACTTCTGCTGGCCCTTGTTGATTTTGTTTGATTAAAGACTCAGTTTTTTTTTAGAATGGTTGTGATAATTTTGGATTTAAATGTAGTAGAAAAATAATAGGTAAAGTGGTTTTCTCTTTTCTTATATATATATTCATTGTCCAGTTATAATCAAGCAAGAATAATGTAGTTGGCTATGAAAAGTATCAGTGTTAGTTGCACTTCACATATTTTCCATTGGCCAAAATCAGATATTGTTGTTGAATGTTGTATGTAACATGAAAGATAAATTGGTGGGCTTTCTATTGTCTTACCGTGTCCTTCATAGTTGTTCATGAAGTTCTAGTTTGTTAATTTGTTGTATTTATTGAAACAGGAAGACCCTTAGAAAGATCCAAAGCTTGTGCAGACTATTCTACTCTTGCAGAAGTTAATGATAACATTGATAAGGGTACTGGAAAAATGACATTAGCGAAGGATTTGGCTTTTGTTGTTGAGGAATCCTCCAAAGCTGATGAGAGAAAAGCAAAGAGTCGAATGGAGCTTAAGAGGTCTCTTGAACTTCGTATAAAAAAGAGGGTGAAGGAGCAATATTTTAATGGAAAATTTAAAGATTTAATGACAAAAGTGATTGCAAATCAAGAAACCCTTCATGATGCTTATAATTGTATTCGGATCAATGCGAATGTTGATGTAGCATTAGATAATGATAACATATCTTTTGAATCCATGGAAAAAGAGCTCTCCAGTGGATGTTTTGATGTTGGTGGAAATACTTTCTCTATTGCAACAAAGGGTGCAAGAAATGAAATCCTTGTCCTTCCAAAGTTAAAGTTGAAAGTTGTTCAAGAGGCTATTAGAATAGTTTTGGAAGTTGTTTATAGGCCCTACTTTTCCAAAATATCCCATGGTTGTCGAAGTGGACGAGGTCATCATTCAGCATTAAAATACATCAGCAAAGATATCTCTAACCCTGACTGGTGGTTTACGTTGATCATAAGCAGAAAGCTGGATACCTGCATCCTTAATAAACTTATCTCCATAATGGGGGAAAAAATACAAGACCCCTGCTTATTTGATATGATCCAAGGCATGTTTGATGCCCAGGTACTCAATATGGAATTTGGGGGTTACCTAAAAGGCCATGGTCTTCCGCAAGAGGGAGTGTTGTCTCCTATATTAATGAACATATACCTTGACGTTTTTGACCATGAATTGCACAGACTTTCAATGAAATATGAAGCTTTGAATCCAGATGTCCATTTTGGTGGAGAGCAGCTCCACTCCAAGTTACGCAGCTGGTTTAGGAGGCAGCTGAAAGGAAATGATATTAAAAACAGCAGTAAGGAGGGTTCAAGAATTCATTCTTGTCGCTTCATGGATGAGTTATTTTTTGCAGTTTCTGGATCTAAAGATGTTGCAATTGATTTCAAGTCTGATGTTGTAAATTACTTGCACAATTGCTTGCACTTGGATGTTGATGGTGAAGCAGAAATATTACCTAGTGCTGGACCTAAAGCAATTTGCTTTTTGGGCACTTTGATTAGAAGAACTGTGAAAGAAAGTCCAGCTATAAGGGCTGCCCACAAGTTGAAAGAGAAAGTCAAGTTGTTCGCTTCGCAGAAACAAGAAGCTTGGGATGTTGGGACAGTTAGGATTGGGAAGAAATGGTTAGCTCATGGTTTGAGAAAGGTTAAAGAGTCAGAGATCAAACATTTAGCTGATAGAAGCTCCCTTTTGAACCAAATTTCCTGTTTCCGCAAAGCTGGAATGGAAACTGATCATTGGTACAAGTTCCTACTTAAAGTATGGATGAAAGACATTAAAACCAAAGCAGCAGAGAGTGAGGAATTTGTTTTGTCCAAGTATGTTGCTGAGCCGGCTGTTCCACAAGAACTTAGAGAATCCTTTTATGAATTTCAGAAGCATGCAGAGGAATATGTTAAATCTGAGACTGCAATGACTCTTGCTCTTTTGCCAAACTCTAGCTCCTCCTCTGAAACCATTATGGAGATCATTGCTCCTGTTAATGTCATTAAGAAGCGTTTGTTACGATATGGATTGATCTCTTCCCAAGGTCACTCCCGTGCCATTACTCAACTAATTTTACAAGACAACATCCAGATCATTGATTGGTTTTCAGGTATTGTTTGTCGTTGGCTTAGGTGGTTTAGTGATTTCCAGAACTTTGCTGAGTTAGAGCTCATAATTAGGAATCAAGTTAGGAAATCTTGCATTCGGACTTTAGCAGCAAAGTACCAAGTTCATGAAAGTGCAATAGAGAAACGTTTTGATTTAGAACTGAGCAGGATCCCTTCCACCCAAGAGGAAGAGCAAGAGATGGAACATGAGAAGCCTCACTCTCTAGCTTTTGATAATGATGAGGCGCTGATGTATGGAATTTCTTATAGTGGCTTATGTTTACTGTCATTAAGTAGAATGGTGAGTCAGTCACGGCCTTGCAGTTGTTTTGTTATGGGTTGTCCAGCTGCAGCACCAAGTGTTTATACTATTCATGTGATGGAAAGACAGAAGTTCCCTGGATGGAAGACAGGATTTTCAACTTGTATTCACCCCAGCTTGAATAAAAGGCGAATTGGATTGTGTAAACAGCATCTAAGGGATTTATATGTGGGTCAAATATCCCTTCAATCCATTGATTTTAGTTCATGGAAATGAAGTTGTTCATTGCAATGAACAGAATAAGGTATAAAAATGATAGATGCCTGGCCATTAACTATCATTTTTAAGAAACCAGGGAAGCTGGCATCAAGGCTTTAAGGCCCAACATTAAGAACCTCGTAAGGCATGCTTTTTGAAGAGCCACATGTAACCATGTTTTGAACATGCAGAAAGTGCTGGAAGCCAAAGAAGATTCATACTTTTTGTACAAAGGAGGGCGCTGTATAGGGATAAGCATCAACATAGCTGTAAGTTTGTGATATTTGTGTGTGTGGGCACATACATAGCACTCTAAAGAGTACCTGAGAGCAGGATCTATATATGTCGGTAGTAAACTTAATTTTTCTATGCTGACAAATGTTCACATGCTTAGCAGCTGTTTTACAATCTTATGCTAGTACTAAGGGTGGAATTCTAACAATGGTTTCTCCATTTAGCAGTCCATATTCTCCGCAATTCTAATCATACCTGTTTGGATGGTCTTGAAGGTTCGGGATTGGCTGTTCCTTCAAAGTCATAAGTTTTATTTCTATATCAGTAGAGTGGACACCCTAAGCTGCAAAAACTGGAGAAAAATTGAAACCTTAGGTAGAACATGCAACTTTTCATCTTCTTGTCATGTCCAATGCATGTTGAGTTGTGCTTAAATTCGTGAGTTGGGTTAGGTGAGATTGGTAATTGCATGGTGTGGTGTCTTAAACAAGAATGGAATGTGTTGACACATTGTGTTTAGGAAAAGGATTTTCTTGTTGAAGTTGGACTTGGAAGTATTTTTTTCTAATGAAAGAAAGATTCTTTTCTAATGAAAAACCTTTTTTGGTAGTATAAATAGCATGTGTAGTGGCTAGTTTATGTGTGCCTCCGATATTGATAGTTTGTGGTGGCAACCAAAAGAATTAGTGCAGTAGGCAAAGTCTTTAGCCACAAAGAATTAGTGTGGTTTTTTTTTCTTGTGAATGATTTCTTGGGTGTAACCGTGCTTTGAGTAGTGAGATGTTTGTATCCTGTAGTTGATAGTGAAGTTTTGTGGAGTAGGCTTTGCCGAATGATGTTATATTTCATGTCCCTTTTATTTGTGTTCTTACTTGTTTTGCGTGGATTTTGCACAAGAATGCACATTCTTGGTGATATCTTTAATAACAGGATTTCACAGTACCCTGGCATGGAGCTAATTTTAATCATACTTATATAAAAACAGTCATGTTTATACTACATTCAGTCATGCTTCTCAATGTGGTATGCTGTCAAAGGTTGGTAGAGTTATAAACTGCAAGATAGTTGGAATCGGAGCAATCTGTTTTAAATCATCTGAAATATCATATATTTATAGGCTGCAGAATCTTGTCAATGCTATCATTTTCATATTCCTTCATCTGCTCATCTTTTGAATGCTGATCGTTGATATTTTATTCCATTCCTTTCTTGAACGGACAAATAAAAGATTTTCCTTTCTTGGTGCAGGGGTGGCTGTTTTCAGTGTCCCAGCTTTGAAAGATCAAACTGTGAGGATGATGAAGCCTAAAGGTAATTGAACAAAACTAGTGCTTCATAAAACTGACATGTCTTATGATTAATCACTGCATTTGCTGTTGCTTGGAAGTCTGGTAAAGAGAAGCACGTAAATCATCTAGCAAGGTTTAGCACCTTCACCTCAATAGCTGGGGTGGCAATTTTGAATTCAGGTTAAAATAAAGACATTATACAATAACATGATGAAACAGGATTCTTAACATCAGCATAACTAGCAAACACCAAATTGCCCCCCCATTGAGGGCACATACTACATCTGCACATAAGTTTTGCACACAGATTTCAAGAAGCATACCCGTGCCTAATATTTTTTTAATTAAAAGATGAGATTACTAGAGCTATGAGAAATTTGTGATTTTGAGATGCAATCTACCTCAAGCCTTCACACTTACTAGATGCAATTATGAGTTTTTCTCTTTAACAATCTCTCTGAAGAATTTTGTGCTACAAACAACTTCTTTCAAAGGTCTTTATCAAACTATGTGCTAATAATTTAATGAGTGCCCACATGATTACTGTAAAACTCAATGGATGTGATCACATAAATCTCACTATTAGACCTTACTGTCGTGCTGCACTCATTTTAGGCTTTGGTTCATTTTCCAGCTTTTGCAATCTGTATAACGATTTGTTCTTAAGCATTTCTTTGAACTTAATTCAAAATCAATTCATATGAGGCTGGAAATCACAATTGTAACTTCCAATGTCTTGCTAAAAGTTGGAGTTAAAGCTAAGTAAGAAAACTTTCAAGCTATATCTGGCAGTGTTCGCAAACTACTACAATCCAGATTATATTTTCTGACTCTGTTTCCTTTAGAAAATATGACGCATTACTAAATAAGTGGTGTTTGGGGTAATGTGTTGAACACAGGTTGCCTTGTTGGCCTATTCACTATCTGCACGCTGCTGAGCTGTTCCTTTGGTTGAGCAGGGGCATGATGTGTTCCTCACTCCCCCCCTTCTGGCTCTAACCCAACACACTGTTGCACCACAAGAACCAAAACTGTTGCTGCGAAGTCTGATGATGCTAGCAAATCCCCAATTGCACCAAGCTCTGTGCATTCACTCCAATCTGTAAGGCCTGCTGTAACTGGTGAAATCATCACGTCCCCTACCCACTATGAACAAGTCGTGATGATTGTCCATTGACATCGTTGCTGCCACTGTTTCCTCACCATTGTTGACCACCTTCTCATTGTAACGTATGGACCAATCATGAGCAGTCTGGATCCTGAATTCATTAACATATTCTTCATCAAGGTTCTTCTCTTTTTTATTTTCTGTTTCCATGGTGAGTGTTCCAGAGTCGTCAGGTTCTATTGCATCCTCACCTGGAATGAACCTCATCACAGTGAGCTTAATTGCTGGATGCTCAGACATCCTCCATATTAGTGGCAGAAAATCAACGTGTCAATGGCAGAAATTATGTCTGATTCTTGGCAGAAATTGTACCTGAAAATGGGGAAGTTTGTCCCCCATTTTCAGCTATAAATAGAGAGGTTTAGAGAGAGCAAAGGGGGACAACAAAGACACTAAACATGTAGTAGAAGGAGCTGCCTTCATTGGCAGCAGCAGCTGCAGATTGGCAGCATATAAAGTGTTGTTATCCAGCAGCTTCTTGCTTTTGTAAATTTCCTTCAACAACATACTTCCAAACTCTTATGTAATGTATTCTAACACTCCATGCATATGATGGTGCCTCTCTATCATATGTGCCCCCAATGAAGAGTACTGCTGTATGGTGAGATGCCTGGTTTGAGGCTAAATAAGTAGACCCACTTAGCCTTCTCTCTACAAGAATCCCAATAGAGCAGGGTGTTTTGGCTAATGCATTTTGGTTCACCATTCGGAAAGCTGGGTTGGTAACTTCCATTCCACCATCAACTGTTAGCTGTTTGTGGACAGGGATGACAATTAAAGCAACCAGTTTTTCCTCAGCCAAGTTACATTTCTTCATGCATGGTGGAATAAGAGGAAATGGTAGTCAAGTGTTGCACAGAAACACAATCTTGCTATTCATAATTCTCGAATGCATTGATGATGTTATCAGATTGAGATTGGGTGTCGTTGAGGGCTGGGCGGCCAGATTTTCTTGTGTTATGGATCATAAGCATTGCTGAGGCGCGGCAGTGAGTTCAACTAGGTGGACCACATAGACACACATGGGGGACCTTTTAGTTGGGTGGGAGGCTTCCAAGAGATTATTGATTGTTGGGACGTTGAGATGAGTGTGTACACATACTAACACCCTAAACTCTGCATCTGGTTTTGACCTCTGAATTGTTCTCCATATGTAATCAGGAACCTCCTCCCAGGTCTGTATATGATTGTTACAGTGGGCGTGATAATTGCAGTCATAATCACAAATACAATCACCATCATTGCAGAGGACTCATCATCTAAGACCTGCAAAGTCATCTGTGTTTTATCTCTGAATTCTTTTGTACATATCCAAAACATAAGATTTGAGATGAGAAGTAAAGTTTCTGCATTTGATGAAGAGGCAAGTGAAAAGAAGAAACAAAGCCTTTTGTATGTGAAAATGAGGAAAGAGTGGAAGATGGGATGGAGGGAAAGGGAAAGAAGAATGTAGTACGGTTCATCTTCGATTGCTGCCCGCCCCACTTGGAAGCTCTCTTTCGAGGTGCTAAACCAAGTAGAAGTGAACTCTATTTTAAGTGCATTCCATGTCAAGTCAAATACTTCTCTTGAATTATGAATTATGAATTATGAATAAAATGGCATGGACAAATCAAGGCATTTCAACTAGTTGAAGTTTTTCCAACACTTGGCTTTGATGAAGGTTGAAACTGAATGATAACAAATACTTGGTTGTTTTTCAACTAGCCAGTAGAAAAAATGAAGGGGGTAACCTCATATTGGTATTAAAGGTAAGTGTCAAAAAAGGATTATTTACTGGGTAACTTTATATTGGTATTAAAGGAAAGATTTTGACTATGTTTTAATTTTTTGTTTATTTTTATAGTTTTATTGTATATTTTAATTGTTTATTAATTTTATATTTGATTAAATATAAAAAATTTTCTCATCTAAAATTAAAATAACAAAATAATCGTCGTAAAAATACAAAAATATTTTGTTATGTTAGGTTTATATTTTTTATATTTAAAAATATTTTCATCGTTTTATTATGTAATTAAAAAAAATATTTACTTAGTCCTAGTTAATTTAATAATAATAAATAGATCATATTAATAGCTAGTACTGATTTTTTTTTTTAATTCCGTGAAGAGGCTAAATCAGTATTATATCATTTTAATAAATAATGTAATGATTAGGAGTTACAATGTTTAATTTTGTTTTGATTGATTATAGGTTAATTTAAAAATAACTTACTAAATAAAAAATAAATGAATAGATAAGAAATCTCCATAATGTTTTTTTCATTGAAGTAAAGGAATGGTTTTTCTACTCCATTTTTTTGGTTCGATGAAGAGAAATATCGTAGGATTACCTAAAGTTTATAACAACTTTTAAAACTTGAATCTAATTTTTTTTTTAAAGTACCATAAGACAATTTTTACGGTTTGCAATCCATTTTCATGTTAAAAATTCTGCCCACTTTCTAATATAAAAATATATTCTAAAAACTTAATTTAGAAATTAAGAAGAAGATTGATTGTTATTACGATATAACTCAAATATGTTAATCTTTGACTCAAGGTTATCCGACATGATCTGTTACAAGTATGCTACAATTATACAAAACACAACCATGGTCGTCGTGTGGTTACCACTCATGCACACCAACCAAACTACTGTCTTATTAATATTGAGCAGAGACAAGATAAAGAAATAGGAGCGAGCAGGGATCGACCATCTACCAGGGATGTCCATAAATTTTGTAAGCATTATTGCGAAACCCAAAATCACTACCACAACAAACCTTTTTCTTGTTTCCTCTCCTCTACTCTTTCTCTCCAACAAAACCAAAACGAAACCCTCTATTTTAACAGCATTTTCTTCGATGTCTTACGATAAAGAACTTTCTGCTGCCAAGAAAGCTGCCTCTCTCGCTGCCCGACTCTGCCAGGCACGGTCCCTTTCTTTGCCTCTTCCTGTTTTTCTTTGTTTGTGTACGCCTAGAGGGTACGTTGTTCTGAGATTGGGTGTGTTTGGATTTTTTGTATGGTGTTTTTCGTTGTTGAAAGATTGTGTTGGTTGGTTTTGGAGTGTGAGATCTTTATTTGAGCATGACCCAGATGCTGAATTTGTTGTTTGAGTGATGCCCTCATTTTGAAAATTTTGAAATCCATTTTTTTTTATTATCTTTTTGGTTTATATCTGTTGTTGTTGTGTGGTGGGTTTGGGGGGTATAAAGTTCTTTAATTGGAGCATGACCCAGAATCTTGATTATGTTTTTACTCTTGTGGTGAATTTGGTGTTTATTTTCTGGTTAAAACTTTGTTTCTTGTGATCATTTTTATTTTGTTTAGAGAAATTTTGGATGGATGACTGAAAGGGGGGAAAAAGGAAGAGATGGAGATGGTTGAATGGAAAGCATGCTACAGTTAGTGGGAGTTAGCTTTTCTGATGCCTTTTATTATACATTTTGCGGGCAACAGATTCTCATCTTCCATTGAGATGAGGTGTTTTTGTGGGACAAAAATATTCACCAATATATAAACTACCGTTGCTGGTGATTTCAAGAAAATTGTACATGGTTTTCAGTGGAAATCGTAACAAATGCAGTGTGGTGAAGGATACTCGAAGATATGTTGGTAAATGGTGTCAGTCGTTGATGTGATTGAATTATACTGAAGATAGACCCTTTTGTGCATAGCACTCTCAATGGAAATAATGAGGAGAGACCTATAAAAGTGTTTTATAAGGACAAGATGTATCGGTCTGCAAAGTGAGGTTTCCCACTTGGCCACTATCATTTCTCATGCTACACAGCTTTGGTGTGCTAGATATTTGATATATCAAGTGCAATTGTCGTACTCTAATATACTCAAAATTGAAATACTTAAGAACATTGCCTGTCTTCATTCTGGTCATTTAGTTTCCATTTAGTGCAATTTTGAATGCATTATGAACCTGTATTACCCTCTAACTTCTTTTTTTGCATGTGGAGATTAAATTTAGGATTTGGCAAAATGTTTGCCTGGAGGTACAATTTGACTTTTGCATACTGAAAATACACCTTAAGTGCTTTAAGCATATACCCCACCCCACCCCCCCAAGTAATCGATTCTCTTAGATTATTCCCATGATGTTGGACTTGAATTGATAAATAATCACATCCTAAGGTTTTATTTGCTTATTTATGTTTTTGTTTCATGTGCGTGTTCTGTATAATTTTTGTCCCCTTTCGGACCAATGAAACTAGATTTTTGTGGCATTTGTTTGTCACCTTGTGATTAATTGTTTCCTTTTTTAAACTATATCTTGTTAACATGATTTTATCCCCTTTCAGAGTAGATGATCTGTCATTTTGCATCTGGGCCACAAGTTTTTTAGATAGCTTGTATAAGGATATCTTTTCTTGTTATCTATAACTGATTTCAAATATTTTTGCTTTCCTTCAGAAGGTGCAAAAAGCTATTTTGCAATCAGATGTCCAATCAAAATCAGATAAAAGTCCCGTCACAGTTGCTGATTATGGTTTGTTGCTAAACAATCCTATGAAATTATGTTGCTTATGTGCATTACCCTTTGTTTTTCCTTCCACTTATATAATCATAGACCTTTTTTTTTTTTTTCAGAAGCTTAAAAATGCTTTTTAGTCAATAGCGTGATGATTTATACAGTCGGCTTTTTTCTTTTTTCCTTTTTACCATAGGATGTTATATTTGCTAAAGCTATGTCTGTAATTTCAGAAAGACAAGTGACAAGCTATAATTAAGTTTATTTTCTATTTTCGTGTGCCAATTTTAGACGCTGGGATGTATCCATTTGTTAGAATCCAATTGATTACTATGGATGGTTGTGGTT